CAACATCTCCCATTTCCGGATAGCAATACAAGCTACATCACTAATGGACTTCTTACTTTGGGCATCGGCCACAACATTAGCCTTTCCCGGATAATAATGTAACTCGAAGTCATAATCCTCAATAAACTTCATCCACCTTCTCTGCCTCAAATTCAAGTCCTTCTGCATAAACAGATACTTCAGACTCTTATAATCAGAGAACACCTCAAATCTCTCACCATACACCTCCAACTCTTGATAGCAAAAATCACAGCTGCTAACTCTAGGTCGTGAGTAGGGTAGTTCCTCTCGTGTGTTTTCAACTGCCGTGAGCCATAGGCTACTACTTTCCCCTCTTGCATCAATACACAACCCAAACCCTCTTGTGAGGCATCACAATATACAGAATAGCCCAAACTCCTCTCCGGAATAATCAAGACTAGAGCGGTGGTAAGTCTAACCTTAAGCTCTTGGAACAACTTTTCACATGTCCCACTCCACACAAATTTGACCCCTTTCCGTGTCAATCTGGTCAAAGGCGAAGCTAGTCTGAAGAAATCTCTCACAAATCGACGGTAATACCCGGCCAAACCCAAAAAACTACGGATCTCAAAGGCATTCTTAGGTTGTCCCCAATCTTGCACTACCTCTATCTTGGATGAATCTACAGTCACCCCTTCCCCAGATACGACGTGGCCTAAGAACTTAACCTCTCTTAGCCAAAACTCACATTTCCCAAACTTAGCATACAGTTTATGGGTTCTAAGCAATTCCAGCACCACTCGCAAGTGTTCTTCGTGCTCCTCCTCAGAAGGTGAATAAATCAGAATGTCGTCCACAAAGACGACCATGGAGCGATCTAAGAACTCTCGGAATATCCGGTTCATCAAGTCCATGAACACAGCCAGTGCATTGGTAAGCCCAAAAGGCATCACCAGAAACTCATAATGGCCATACCGCGTATGGAATGCCGTCTTTGGGATATCCTCTGTAACGCCCTCAAAATAAGACATAATCATTCATTTATAAAATCCATAAAACATAATAGAAATGTTACATGTTACTTTTATCAGAATATTCTTTACAGAAGATATTAAACAAATAAATGCCCTACGGGCATACAGTTTTCTAAGAGATAACTTGGTTGCAACAAAAGAAGAGTCCTAGCTCTATACATAGAAAGCCCTTGGCTAGGATTTACATTTCACACCAAATATAAATCACAAAACGGAGTCTTCAGCTCCTACACCTTCCAAACTAAGATCTTGGAGGCGGCATGCCACCTATACCTGAAAAATGGTGTCCCAAGTAGGGTGAGCCAAAGCCAAGTAGAGATATACTAAACAACATATGAGAATTAACTAAAACATTAGCATTCGATAAATGTTTAACACTTGAAAACCAAGTTACACTCTTATGACTAATTAACATTTACATCCATATTTCAATCCACTTCCATTTATTTATCCAAATCAATTCATTAACATGGTTCATTTTTATCCAAACAATTCAAAATGAGACTATAACTTATATCATCAACACTTCAATCATCAACATCATTTAGATGTATATAAGATTTCAGGACTTTCACCCTAGACACTCCGGCTAACTTAATTATCAATGGAGTCCATCCCCTATCTCCTTCCAAACAATGGAGTACATCCTCTATCTCCTCCCAAATAATGGAGTACATCTCATTTCTCCTCCCAAACAAAGATACATATGCAATGCATTTAAACACGTTGTCACACACAATGACCAATTAAATCACATATTCAACGCGTTAATCCAACCGTCATATTCAATGACATAATCCAATTGATTAGTTTCAATTTACCTAATCATCATGCAATTTCTACAACAACCATGACTATCCTCCACCGATAGCCCAAAACAGTTATTTCTAAACAGATAAATAAATCTATCAAACAGATAATTTAGTGACTTTTCCATAGGTGAGTGATTTATCAATCCAACTACACCGTTTAATCACATATTTCCCCAATTTCATTATTCCCAAGCCAATTTCATATTTCCACATTGATTTCATTACGTAAACAAATAATTTACATGATGCAAATTAGGGCATTCTCCCCCTTTTCTCAAATGTTGCCCCCAAGGCCAAATTTCACCCATATTACACAAGCAACCCTATTTTCAAGACATCACACACACATATGGAGCTCAACAATAGGAACCCCTCTTTTATAATTTCAACTCGAACCCTAACTTCACCCAAAATTCCAAAATCACACCATTTATACAAAATGACCAACATCTACGTTAAAACTTATATAGGAGAGTAGAATATTCCTACCTCAAGAAGAGAAGATGAGCCGAGCAAGAGAGAAACTCCAAAGATGCTGAAACCAACTTCTACTCGGATGAAAATAGAGATCTTGAAGAGCTCAAACTTTTTATCAAAGGAAGGAGGGTTAGGAGATCACTAGATCTAGGTCAAAATGTAGAGAGAGAGAGAGTATTTTAGAGAGAGAAGCTCTCAACTTAGGGTTTTGGAAAGTTTTAGAGAGAAAAAGGACAGAAAAAGAGATTTCTAAAGTCACTTTCGCGATCTGATATATGTATAGTCCACTCGAGCGGAGAGTTTGACGCTCGAGCGCAATGAGACCTGCTCGAGCGTAGAATACACTTCCCCAGTATTTTACAGACTTTAGACAGGCGCTCGAGCACCATCGGGGCCACTCAAGCTCAGACCTGCTCAAGAATGAAAAACACTTATGCAGTATTTTTACAGACGCACAAAGTACTGAATGATTGCAAACCCCGCTCGAGCGCAAGAAGGCCCGAATTCTGGGCAACAAGGTTCTAGACCAACTAGCAACCCACCTGTTCTGAACATGCTCAAGACATTCCAAAACTCAATTCCAAAGAGTAAGAGGAGGAAAAAGGCATAAACAACAACATTAAACCACAAGACCCGAGTTCAGAACACCATAAGAACCAAGTCAAAATCCGGGATCGCTATATCTTCCTCCCTGACTCTCAACTGATGATAGCCCGATCTCAAATTAATCTTAGAGAAACAACAAGATCCTTTCAACTGGTCAAACATATCATCTATACAAGGCATAGGATACTTATTCTTAACCGTAACCCGGTTTAACTTTCGATAATCAATGCAGAGTCTCAAAGCCCCATCTTTCTTTTTAGCAAAGAAGGCCGGTGCTCCCCAAGGTGACGTACTAGGGCGAATAAAACCCTTATCTAGTAACTCTTGGAGTTGAATCTTCAACTCACTCAACTCGGCTAGGGCAAAATAATACGGTGCCATGGAAATCAGTGTCGTGCCAAACACTAAGTCAATAAAGAGCTCGATCTCTCGATGGGGTGGTATACTAATAAGATCCTCGGGAAAGATGTCTGAGTACTCACAAACCACTCTCGGAAACTTAATATGAGTCTCATCACACTCTTTACTCATAAAGCTAGCGAGAAGACAACTAAGCTCACTCCGTCCTCGCGGATCATGCATCGGTGGTAAAACTCTACCAACCCGATCGCCCAAGAAATGAAAACAATCACCGCTCAAGCTACATACAGTAACCCTCTGACAGTAGCAATCTATAATAGCTCGGTATGACGATAACCAGTCCATACCCAAAATTACATCAAACCCAGACATATCCACCAATACAAAAGAAAATGGTAGCCGGCAATCGGTGACCTTTATATCACTCTCTTTGAGGGATTTCTAGTTTACTAACATCTAACCTGTAACCCTTTGTTTATCTATTTTGAGTATCATGCTTTACTACTTGTTGTTATATATTGTGATTGTGTATTGGACTGGGAAAAAGGGACGGGGTGTATGTGTGTTTACTGGGCATTCAAAGCTCACGGTGTGTTATGCCAGGTGCCGAAGAGGAACATATAGATGGAGACGACGAGCCTGAAACCTTCGAAAACCTTTGGCTATCTTAGTAAAGTTAAAAGTTTCTCTTTTAATATTTTTGTAAGACTCGTACGAAGATTTAAATTTTCTTTTTGGGATGTAATGTAATGGAACAAGCTTTTGCATTTAAGGAAATTTGTGGTTGTTATGTATTTATATTCAATATAATCAGAGGTATGCACCTTATCATTGCTTATGAGACCTTGTGTCAATACTTGTTAGGATCTGTCAAAATTGACCATAGGACTCAACAGTGACTCTCCCTTACCTACAACCAATAGTGTAAAATCGGGGCGTTACAAGATTAATGAAACATTATTGAAACAAAAGATATCCAAAAAAAATTAGAGTAACAAACTTGCTGGAAATATACTTGGTGGACCCAAACGAAGACACCTCCATCCATGATGGGTTAAAGATGGAAATATAAATACTCAAGAAAAATTAAAGCCCAAGTTCCCATTTTCCCCTTTGTTTGCTCAAATATAAATACTCAAATAAGATGGGATTACTCACCTAAACAGTATTTCGACCAGATTCTTCCTTTGTTGAACACCCTTGTACAGATATCAATCCCATCCCCAATTCAGAAACACCCTTGTTTCCCTTTTGCAGTGGCTCCATTCAAGGGGGTTCTAGGGCTACCACTGTTGATGAAGATTGGGATGGCGGAGAGAGGGATGGAGGAAAAAAGAAGGTGAAGAGAGTAATAAGGGGTTCGGGGTTAGGTCTCCAGAAGGGTTGGGATCCGATAGGAAATTGAAGATGAGCATAGGAATGGGTTCCGAGAGAGAGAGAGTTTAAAATTTGAAATAAAAAAGAGATGAGGGGAGTATGAGAGAGAGCGAGCTGGTGTGTGTTCAAAATGTAAGTTGATTACATTTTAGACCATTAGATTTTGATAGTAATTGATGTCAATCATTGAAATGTCTAAATAGAATTAATAAGAGTAAGGCAATTTTAACCCTTAGATTGAATTAATCAAATGATTAATATTTTGATAAAGGGACAAAGGGACAAAAGGCCTATTAGGCTAAAAAACAGAGCTTCCTTGTTATATAAAATTTTATTTATTTATATTTTTTTTGGTTGTGTATTTGGGCACTCATACAAACCCTAATTTCTAAACCTACGCTTTAAAACCACTGACACTTTGGCCTGAAGCAAAACAAATAGAAAAGGTTCTTCTCAGTTGTCATATATATGCTGGAAGAGAAACACTGTGGAAACACGCACACAAACCCTAACCAAACCCTTTTAGCTTTCAAGCCTCGGCAGGTATTGCTTGCAGAGCAAAAGGCGAAGGCAACGACGACGATGATGAAGCCCTGCAACAGCAAAACCCTAACCCTAAATCCCGACCAGAAAGCCCTTCTTCTCCATTCCGTTCTTCAGTACCTTGAACACAACAGCTTCTCCAGAGCCCTCAAACGTTTACTCTCGGAAGCTCAAATCGAGGTCTGTCTCTCGCTCTTTCTAAATCTCTTTCTATATATACATGTATATACGTTTCGATATTTGCTGATTGGTTGGCAATTTTGTTGTTGTCAGTATACTTATTTAGTTCTAGTGTGTATATATATATACACAATATGTACATTAGTATCCAAGTGCCCAGCTACTATTGATTTTACTTTATTTTGTCTCTATTTTAAATTCAACAATGTTACACACCTCAAAAAACACAACCCCATAACCCACACTCAAATTGGTCCAGGAAGGAAAAGAAAAAAAAAAATGATTGGTCCACATGATGTTGGGGCCATGGGGGTCCCCAACTTTGGGGTCCCAAGCATTTTTGTTTTAAATTTGTTTGAGCTGAGAAAGATTAAAATATTGGGTTGGGTCCAAGTTATTCCAAAATGAGGTTGATTGTCTTAGGTTGCATTTGCATGGAACACCTTGCACCAACACTTTCTTAGGTTTTTGGAAATGATGGGATAAAAGGAATAGGAAAGGAGAAAATAATTAAATTTGGCACAAAAAATAAGAATCTTTCCCTGTTTCATCTTTCCAATAGTAACCTGGCAATAGTTTCGTTTGGATTTTATTTTCCTTCCCTAGCTGAATTCCCCATCAAAACAGAGGCTTTAAAACCTTGGAAACATTGTGGAAAAGGAAAGAAAATTAATTTTTTTTTAGGTGATATCCAAGCAGAGATTATAAGAAATTAGGGTTTTGTTTTTATCAGAATTGCAAATTACACTGTTTTCTCAAATGTATTTTACATATTGATTTTGTCAATGACCAAAATATTTTTCTTAATTGCTTCATTAACTTCTAATCTGCTGCCTGGGACCCTGTAATTGGTGTGCCCCACTTAAGAAATTGATGTTACTGTAGGTTTAATTAAATAATGAGAAACAAAACTTGAGAAAATGATGTAAACAAGTTTGTACCTCAGTGATGAAGGTCTTGAATCCTGAAAGTCATCAACAATATATACAACATTATTGATTGACCATAGTGATAAACTATATTGTAGTTAAAGGAATGTCCCTTTATTTCTCTTCAAATTGAAAACAGGTTCCATTTGCAATTATTGTGACATGGAAGTCTATTGCTCTTTTATACTAGATAACCAGATTTAATGATAAGGGGGATTGCAATTATTGTGAATGGCCCTATTTAATGATATACTGTTCCATCCGCAATTATTGTGAATGGCCCTATTTGTTTGGATAGACTGGATAAGAGGGGATTACAATCCAACGGACTGTTAGTCTTGGAATAAATAGTCCTTGACTATTTATGTGTCTTATGTTTGTTTTGTCATGAGATTGTATATGTTTGGAAATGACTATCCTAGCGAATCCCATGTTTGGTTGAGAAATTACGAAGGAGGATAACTACTTAAAAGACCATTTTGTCCTTTCAAATTGTTTACTAAGGCCTCGTTTGGCAAGTGACTTTTTTAATCAAAAAGTCACTAAAAAAACCAAAAAGCTAACAACCCATACTAAAAAGTCAAAGATTCTCTCTTCTGTCTATTTTTTGCACATCTTTTCGTAAAAAATCAAAAAGTTATCCCAAACATACTAGTTTTTTTTTGCTCATATTTTAGCCAAATAGCCAAAAAATTACTAAATTAGCCTGTTTCCAAACGAGGCCTAATAGCAATGTTAAATATAACTTATAAATTTTATTTTATTTTATTTTTTGGCTAGGACTTGTAAATAATTAAATAAATAGAACATCGATAAAAACTAAATAAATTTATTTTATTTTTTGGTTGGGACTTGTACATTTTATTTTATTTTCTTAAGTGCAATACATAACAATAAAAAGAACATCAATAAAACTTGCAAGTGTAATTCTAAACTAAATGTGAAACAGAAATCCAAAGTTTCCCAATACCATGGATGCACCAAATGTGAATTTTTTTGAACTCAACAATATTATGCTTGGGCTAATCTAGTAGTGACCCCCACCAATTTAAAATAGTACACATATTAAAAGCAAATGTATTGCATAAACACAACATTCTGTGTGAAAAAGGTTCTGTGAAAAAAAAATGAAAGGAAAAGATATTAAATACATGGGGCCAAAATTGTCTTGTTACCAGCTAATATAGAGGGGGGATCTGTCCACCCAGGGTCTATACTATATCTAATCTAACTAAAGAATATCTAACAGCTGAACTAATCAGTTACAACCACTTGCACCAATACAAGATATGCTCAACTACAACAAGTCATCATGTGTTTTGTAACTCTTGCTTGATAATTTTTGTTTTTTATTTATGACTGGGTGTTCAGGCTAGCTTACGCACACCTCAACTAATCCCGGGACTCAAGTGTTCCCTCCACGTGGATCGGGAAAATCCTGGGCAGATCTCACGGGCGTGGCCCCAAGGAGTTGATAGTATCTAGTGGGAGTTGAAACTGAGACCTAGAGTAAGCACACAAGTAGGCCACAAGCTGCACCCAGGGTTTCTTGCTTGATAATCTCATCAGGCCCTCTCGAGAAAATGGGTTAGGGACGAACCATGAGCTTGTCCTTAAGATAAGGAGGGTCTATCCACCCTAGGACACAATAATCTCACATATGAGGGACTAATTGTCCGATTGGACTATTAGTTCGGCGTTCACTTATTCAATTAAACAACTGATTAATTGATATGTTGGACATAGAGTCTTATCCCTTGAGTGAATCTCACGAAACAAACAAGGCTAAAGAGTCAAAAGAGTCACAGGGAATTGCGTAAGCATCAGACAATCGTGGACAATTAATGACTCAACAATCATCGAAGCTTTTCAGGGGCACTATTATTTGTAATCAACTATAACAAATCTTCATGTGTTCTGTAGCTCTTGCTTGATAATCTCATCAGGCCCCCTCAAGAATGGGTGAGGGACGAACTATGAGCTTGTCCGGAAGATGAGGAGGGTTTGTCCACCCTAAGACACAATAATTCTAGATATGAGGGACTATAGTTCAGTTGGACTATTAGTGCGGCCTTAACTTTTTCAATCAAACAACAAATTAATTGATATGTTGGACATGGAGTCTTTATCCATGAGTGAATCTCACCAAACAAACAAGGCCAAAGAGTTATAAAGTTATAAGGAATTGCATAAGCATTGGACACTCGTGGACAATTAAAGACTCAACAAATACTGGTGCTTTTTAGGGGCACTGTTAGTTGTAACTTGTAAGGCTCTTAACACTAGCGTGTAGGTTTTAAGGGAGATTTTTTTATCTGCAATGGTGTTATTAAAAGGTGCGTCTAGGCCCAAGGCTCATCAAGGCGCAATCAGTGCGCCTCAAAACATCTCAGGCTATGCGATGTAAAACATTACCCATAAAGGTGCATGAAGCGTGTGCTGTAGGCTTAGGCTTAAGGCAGATGACTATTACAATAACAACTCTTGAGTTCACTTAATCTTATTATTTTAAGGGGATTAAAACCCTTAAACATATATTGCATCCAACCACTTTTTAGCTTTATTGTACATAGACTTTGGTTGGATAGAGCTTTCTCTTTGACCAGACTAACAGTTGCCGTTCTTCTTCTTCTTCTTCTTCTTCTTCTTCTTCTTCTTCTTCTTCTTCTTCTTCTTCACCTCAATCTCCTTCTCTATGCTTTTCTTGTTTATGATTTATGAGTTGGATGTTTGTTTTTATGTGAACCTTGAACTATTTGTCCATGATAAAATATTAGTGTGTTGGTATTTATGTTTTAAAATATTTAATTTTTCATTTTACTTATGTTGAACCTTGAATTATTTGCTTATATTAAACTATCTATGTTTTATTGTCAAGATGACCCTCACTTCAATGAAGTCGCACCTCGCCTTGCTCCTAGGCCCTAGGAAACCTTGGCGCTTTAGTGTGCCTACCGCCTTTAATAACATTGATCTGTGGTTTTCATGCAGATTTGGTTATGCACGTACTAACGAATTCTCTAATGCTGTGTTATATAACCCAGTCATGCTAGCCTAGGCTTGTTTACACTGTTTTAATTAAGTGAAGGTTTGAATTAGGTTGGTCTTTCCACTGTTTTACTTAAGTGAAGGTTTGAATTTGGTTTGTCTTTCCATTCTTTTATCTATTGGAGAGAAGTCTTAAGGTTTGTACAAACCAAGGTTTCTAAAACAAGAAGTACCTTGCGTATGTTAACTTTTATTCACGTTTTGATTGATACTCACTTGAGCAAATTTGGTTAGAAAAACTGATTTCTATTGTAGTTTCAGTTATTGATTACTTGGAAGTAGATTTATAGTTTGAATGTGGTAGGTAAATAAGCAAAGTATATGACACTTTTGTGTACATTTGGTTTGGCTAGAGCCAAATAATACACAACACAATAAAAATACTAGTTTATTGACATTTTCATTTTGGTTTTCTTATTGGTGAGATATAGGACTTAAATAGAGATCCATATATGACTGATGCTGCAAGCCTGCAACACTACATGATATCCATCCTCACATTTTATAAATTTCTCTCTACAGTGTCCTGCCCCCACATTTCTTCTGTCAAAGTAATAAGAGTTCTTTTGAACTTAAAGTCAATATCCATTGTTTTGTTTTTGGGTAAATAGGTTTGTATTCAATTTGCTATTGATTTTTACGCTTGGGTGTTTTGGAAAATAAAGGCTTATCTAGTTGACTTTTAATCTGTTCGAACTTCACTTTCTGGTTGCATGTTGAATCTGTTAGGCGCTCATGAAAATTTCTGACCATTGAGCATGCATGTATACCTGTTTTTCCATAAAGGCTAGTTTTAAAGATACTTGGGTAGACTTAATAAATAGTTTTAAAAAAAGTCAGTATATACCTAAGAAGGTTAGTAACATCAAGCAATAATACATGATATGCATATCTGTGGTATACAGTTTCTGTCAGCAACACGTTATGATCTCTGATTCGTTATGCTATGCTGTTTCTTTGTAGTTTAACTTGTCTGTCATGCAAATGATCCTGTTCTTTTTCTGCAGAATGACAGCTGGAAGACTTGTTCACTAAATTTGGAAGATATCTATGGCAACTATTTGGAGACATGGTAGGACAAGAAGTACTTTATTCTTGAATTTATTAATAATAAACATAATTCGTCATCACATCTCCATGATTCATGGAGCCTGCCCTGATATGTTGATAGGGTTGTGCATTCTTTAGAATTCTAGTCCAAGTTGCAACTTTTTATGCACATATACACTCCCAGTATGCCTTTGAGACCTTTCTCATCATAGTTGTTATACCGTTCTGTATGGCCCGGGACATTCAGTACCCAATCAAATCACGGTACTCTTAGGATGTAATTTTATTTCGTCCTTTTTTTCTGGTCAGTTCCAAATAATTTTGGTCTTACTGGAAAAATTTGGATGTTATGTTTGGTTTCAATTTCCTAGATTGAATTTTTTTGGAAACTGAGTATTTTGTTTTTCGTGTTTAGTGAATATTTTAAAAATTTTAAGCAATTTTTTTACATTTTTAGATGTACCTTACTTAGATGTATCTAAAAAGTAAAATATTTTTAAAAAATCAATAAATACACAAGAATACGAAAAATGTACTGAATTTTCGTTTTTTTTTTTTTTTTTTTTTTGTATTTAGTGAATTTTCTAAAGATTTTTTGCACAAATATTATACTTTTCAAGTGTATTTATATTAGATGTATCTAAAATTAAAAAAATTGCTTAGAATATTAAACAAATTCAGTTAAAACAAAAAGCACCGAAAACAAAAATTTTCAATTTTCTGAAACGTGAATGATGTAGGACAAGTAGGGATTACTTTCCTACAAGTAGTGAGCCCGGTTTAAGTATATTGGCAGTAGCAACAATAGACTTATAGGGTTGGATTTGGTGGGATTTTGTGACTGCAAAAATATTTAAAAGAATAAGAGTTTAAAGGTTTGTAAAAGGGTAGGGTTTTGGGAATGAAACACAAGTGTTTAGGGGCAGTTGGGTGGTTGTTCTAAGCACTGTGAACAGTGACGTGAACAGTAACCTTGCTGGATAGAAGAAGAAGAAGAAGAAGAAGAAGAGAGAAAGAAAGAAAGAGAAGTGCTTCACCCTCACAAGGAATAGACTAATCACACAAACACAATCTCAAATTTTCATAATATTAACTCTGCTATTGAATCATTGAGATTACACATATATTTATAGGCTAACCTAATTCTATAAGGACTATTTCTCAAATTTAGAAACTAAAAATATTTAGCAACTACTAATATTCTAGACCAACTATGACTTCAAATTCTACTTTAATCATAATAGGAAACTTTAATGACTTTTAATTCTACTTCAATATCAAAATGGGAAACTTGGACTTTTGACTACTAAGATTATTTTAGACATAATAAAACTCATATTTAATAACCCATTTAATAACTTGACCCAAAATAAAACCCATGGGTGACCCCTACAACCCATGTCTAACAATTATTGGAATTACCATTATACGCATAATTACTAAAACCTACTATAATGACATGAAGATTCAAATTTATTCCAAATCTTTAATTCTTAATGTCTTAAATGTGCTTCATGTGAAATTCCAGATTTGCTCTTTTTCTTCTTTCCATGATTTTCATCATTCTCCCCTCCATTTGAAAAAACTCGACCTCAAGTTTTATAATGTTGAAGTGTAAGGATTATGGAATCTTGCACTTGCGACCATTCAACTTGATTTTTTGGAACGAACGATGAGAAAATCAAAAAGTTCAATGTTGTCATCACTCCATTAATCACATCAAATTTGTCAGGAATAATAAATTCAATGTGAACTTCATTTTTCTTGTGAAGAGTAGAAAGTTCAGTTGCATTCTCATTGTTCTCTTTGGCTTCCTTAGCTTTAGAACATTGATCATGATGATCTTTCATGCTTTCTTTAGTAAGCAAATTAATTTTTGCCTTCTTGTCTTCAATATCCTCAATATTAGCAGCATGTTCATCTTGTTCTTTCATAGTTTCTTCAAAATCTTTAACACTATCATCCTCTTGTTCTTGGATATTAGTCTTCTCTAAAACAGCAGCCAATAACATCTCCATGGAAGCTTTCAATCCATTTAAAGTTGTTTTGATAGTACGCATATCACTCTTTATTGTTGCAACGTCCTCCTTAATTATCGCAAAATCCTCTTTTAACATCGCAGCATCTTCCTTAGTAGCCTTATAATCTTTTGAGGAGGCTTCGAACTTGGAATTCAATTCAGTGTTTGTCACCATCATACTCAATAAAACAACTTTGTCAAAAAAAAAAAAAAAACTAAAAACGGTGGAGACTAAAAGTAGGATCTTGAAGCTCTGATGCCAAACTGATGTAGGACGAGTAGGGATTACTTTCCTACAAGTAGTAAGCCCGGTTTAAGTATATTGACAGCAGCAACAATAGACTTGTAGGGCTGGATTTGGTGGGATTTTGTGACTGCAGAAATATTTAAAAGAATAAGAGTTTAAGGGTTTGTAAAAGGGGGTAGGGTTTTGGGAATAAAACACAAATGTTTAAGGGCAGTTGGGTGGTTGTTCTAAACACTGTGAACAGTGACGTGAACAGTAGCCTTGCTGGATAGAAGAAGAAGAAGAAAAGAGAAAGAAAGCGTGTTTCGCCCTCACAAGGGATAAACCAATCACACAAACACAATCTCAATTTTCATAATATTAATTCTGCTATTGAATCATTGAGATTACACACATATTTATAGGCTAAAGACTCCTAATTCTATAAGAACTATTTCTCAAATTTAGAAACTAAAAATATTTAGCAACTACTAATATTCTAGACCAACTATGACTTCAAATTCTACTTTAATCATAGTAGGAAACTTTAATAACTTCTAATTCTACTTTAAAATCAAAATGGGAAACTTGGACTTTTGACCACTAAGATTATTTTAGACATAATAAAACTCATATTTAATAACCCATTTAATAACTTGACCCAAAATAAAACCCATAGGTGACCCCTACAACCCATGTCCAACAATTATTGGAATTACCGTTATACCCATAATTACTAAAACCTACTATAATGACATGAAGATTCAAATTTATTCCAAATCTTTCATTCTTGATGTCTTAAATGTGCTTCATGTGAAATTCCAGATTTACTCTTTTTCTTCTTTCCATGATCTTCATCAGTGAATCATGAAAAACAAAACCAAACAAGCTATTTCTGGTCAGTTCCAGACCGATTGACATTGTCTAATCACCAACTCCTAGGTGAAGCTAGGGGCTACCAGCTGTGTGATATGGGCTATGATGATTGCACCTGACTTGATGTTTTGACAATACTGTCAAAATGAAAAAAAAAAAAGAATTATTGTCCATCAACTGTAGTCTATCCAGGCTACCACTATAAAGTATAGTGTTTCCCATATTTGTTGTATTTTATTTTAAAATTTTTTCCTTGTACTACAGTTGTTCACTGTATGTATATAAGGAAATTTAGATACTCCTCCTTACTATTTGAGTTTCTTAGAGAAAATATAAACGAGTAAATTTATTAACTATTACATATATGAATACATATAAATATGTATAATGATAAATCTGAAACAGTACTCCGAAATGCACCGATACATACCATACCAATAACAAAGATGGTAGGTTGACCGGTACGGTATTCACAACTTTGTCTCTCATTGTTATACTTGTATGTGACAAGAAATATAAATTTAACCATTGGCTTAACATGCATGTTCTGGGCATTTTGAACGTGATAGCCATTTATAAGTTGGGGATACTTGGTAGGTTGTTTGTTTTATGTCTGCCATGTAAATGGATGAATAACTATTACTCCATTTTGCATTGCTTTAGTTAATAATACTACTAGAGCACATTTGGTATGATGGAATAGGCGTTGGAATGGAATGCCCATTCCAACTCTATATTTCATTTTCCTCGTTTGGTACACCTTATGTAAGTGGAATAACTATTCCTTCCTCCAAGCTAAGGAATAGGCATTCTAATCCATGGATTTATCCTAAAACAAGTGCCTATTGGTTTCCTCTATTATAGTGCTGTAGTTACTCCTAAATCATTTGGTATCTCCATGAAAAATATAGATTAGAGTTGGGAGGATCCTTGCATATCGTGGGTGCAACACTGTTGAATGATATTGATGGAGATCTCTTCGATTGACACTTTGTTCACTTTGATCTGGTGCTTGAAAAAACTCTTCATTTTGTTGCTCTTCAATTTTTTGTTTGCTTTTGTTAATTGAAACTTTGAATCTCAATTTTCATTCTCATGCTACTTGAGCTTCTGTGCTGTGCAGTACTCGTGCTGGAACAAAATGTGACCCCTACAAGGAGCAAGGTATACTATGCTAATGGAACTTTGTTCAATTTGTAAAATTTCTTCTGTGTGTCTATCTCACTCACACCACCCGTTCTTTTAAAATGCATGCAGTTTTTAGTTCATTTGAATATTAGATCTAATACTACTTCTGTGAAATTACAGAATTGCTGACTAACTGCATTACCAAAAAAGATGGAGACGGTCACTGTTCTGCCTTTGAGCAAACTGTTGGAAGGAAAAAGAAAAAGAAAAGTGATGAGAGTGATAGCAATGCTGCAGCAAATCAATCTGGAACTGATGATAAATTTTCTGAATCTACTAAGAACTCCAGGGAGATACTAGCAAATGACTTGCTCACTGATTCAAATGTAGAGTTTAAAGAGGAGAAGAAAATAAAAAGAGTTTCTGATTCTCTTCATCAAACTGAAGAAGTTGATGTGCAGTCATTGAAGAAGCCCACTGCTGATACAGTCTGTGAACTGCAGACAGATGAATCCACTAAGAAACAGAAGGATAAGAAGAAAAAGAAAAATAAGTCAATTTCTGAATCACTTGATGGTATTGTCGAGGAAATGCAATTAGATTCGTTGCCAGTGGTAAATGAAGAGACATGCACAAATTTGAAACCTTCCTTAGGTGGTGGTAAAATTGATTCTGAAGCAGAAGTTAAATCTAAAGATAAAAAGAAGAAAAACAAGCCAACTACCGATTCTCATGGTGACAATGTTGAGCATTGTGCCTTGGGGGATAAGAAGCGTTTGATTGCTAATAATCTTGGTGGAAATGTAGGACAACAATCAGATTTGTTGCCAATGGCCACTGAAGATAAATCCAAAGATTTAACATCTTCAAAAGGCAGCAATAAAACTGATTCTGAGGCAAAAGGTAAATCTAAAGATAAAAAGAAGAAGAAAAAACAAAGTACGGATTCTCTCGTTGAAAATATGGAGCAATGTAACTCTGCCTTGGAGGATATGCATAACATTTCATTGGAGGAGAAAAAGGTTGGATCTAAAGATAAGAAGAGAAAGAAAGAGGGTTCAATTTCTGAAACATTGTCTGGTGGGGTTCCTGAAGTGCCTAACAAAGATGATCCAATAAAAAATGGGTCAAGAAAGAAATCTGTTCAGGCTTTTGAGGATGCAACTGGCAAGGAAAAAAAGAGCTCCAAAAAAAGGAAAAGATTGGTTTCTGTTGAAAATGAGGGGCAGCTTGTTGAGAAATTAGTAAGCGAGGAGTCAAAACGCAGAAAAACGGAACGTTTGGAAGAAACAAAGTGCTGTGAACAACTTACAAAAGTGAATGCAATAACAGGTGATGATGAGCATGCTGAGAAAAAAAAAGAAGGTGAAAATGGTCATGTTGTTCAAATTGCGTTCCAAAACACATCTATTGAGGCACATGCAAATGGGAACCTTGAGGAGGATGGAGAGAAATCTGCTGCTCAGAAAATCAGAAAAAAGCAACATAATGGTTCGGCAGAGGTATGCTTGCTGTGGTTTCTTATTTTATTTTGTTTTGGTTAACTATAATTTTATTGCCTGATAAGATATAAAATGGAGGTAGTCTTGTTTTTTTAGTTATATCAAGAAATATGTGAAAATTTTCTTGTGCCGCTAATATATGATCACTGGTCAGTAAGGGTATTACAGAGGAAACAAATTAATAATTTAAAGAAATGAACATGGAGGCCAAATCTTGTAGCACGAGCCATCTATATGTGCGCAAGAATCTTCACGACGTGAGGCTTTTGTCCCATGCATGGATCATTTCTTAATTCATGAGTCAAGTTTGCAAGCAGTGCCTCGATTCATATTCCTTTGATCTTGTATTAGTCAATCTCAAAGGTGAAGTCCTTTTATTCCTTAAAATACAGCTAAACAAAAATTTGTAGAATATTGTAATTTGTAACAATACAGATACATATATTTGCACACACTAGAATCCCTTTTGGTTTGTTTAATCAGGTGTGGCACTTATTTTAGGAGATGCTTTTTTCTATCAATGATTGGTGTGTTAGGTGCTAGTGGACAGGACAGTAAAGGTAGTGTAATTGGTTGTCTTTGTTTATTTTTTCAAATTATAAGTTAGTCCCTGGCCATATTTATCAATTTTTTGTTGGGTGTCGAGAGTTAATTATTTTTTGGTAATTTCTAGATTTGCTTGGCATGGGATGAAAGTGATGGATTTTGAGTACCATTACAAGTCTCAGTTATGTTTTAGGGTCATTACATATGGTCTCATTGAGCCTAAAATAGTCCTGGTAGCCAAAAGGTCAAAATTCTTATTTACTAGCCCTAGTCCTATTAGTATTAAGATATTTTGAGCAGCTTATGCAAAGTCTTTGATTATTTTATTCATTGGAGTTGGTTTATGAGGTTTGAGATCATGTTTGTGGACTTACTCTAATTATTGCATGGTTGAAGCCCAATAAATTCTTTTTCTTCCATAAAAATCAGCCAAGGCACTGTTCACAAGCTAAAGTTCACAACCCCAAACCACCCTATTTTCCAAAATGCTATCTCTTGAGCCTTAATGAACTTTCATCTTTTGCCTTACCCTATGGCCTTCAAATTAACACCAAAAACTAATAGATAGTTAGTTGTCAGTAAATTGTCAGTTAATTTTGAAAATTCAGAAGTTAAATAGTTTGGTGCAAAGAAAAATCAAGATTAAAACTACACTACAACATTGTTTTCCCGCTCTTTCTAAAACTAAGCTACAACTTTTGGAAACCAAATTCACCACAATGCAAATTGTAGGCACAAATTGAATGTCCTTGGCTTTCAAGTCAGCCTAGGATTCTTTAGTCCAATGTTTAACCTTTCCTGTAATTTCCCATGTATTTAATTTTGATGATGCAATCTTTGTTAGTGTCATCATTTATCCAGTGTCTCCACTCCTTTGTAATGGTCTCATTTTTTAGGATTAGAAAATGTGCCCCCAATATTCTTGTTAACTGCCTCCTACAATTTGAAAATTTGTTGTGAAATGTCTTGATGGATGCTGTTTTTTACAGCCAAAGACAGTGAATGCATTTCAAAGGGTAAAAATTGATGAGGTGGAATTTGCTGATGAGAGGCTTCAAAATAATTCTTACTGGGCCAAGGTGATTGTTTTTCCTTGTTAGTTATTTATTTATTTTTTTGATTCTTTGAAATGCCATTCTGGAAGTTTTCTTCATGTCCTATGTTATTAGCAGTTAATCTCCATTTTTAACTTTCTGCAGGATGGTGCGGAGGTTGGATATGGTGCCAAAGCACAGGAAATTCTTGGGCAGGTTAAAGGAAGGTATGTCTTTGAACTTCGTCATGCATTCACAAATTAATACTGAATGACTTTATCTTTTATGCTGTGTTTTAATACTGAATGACTTCTATCTCTTATGATTACCTCTTGTTTTATGTACCACTGTAATGCCCCAATTTCTATGGATCTGGTTAATATTATCTAAATCCGCATTCATCCTTTATTTTGAAACTCATTGAATTTATAAACATGGAAGCCAATGGTTATCCAATACTCATACTGTAACGCCCCAAAAATATAGATACCGAAATACACATCATACTCATTAAACATGCGGAAAACCTAATTAATCCCAATCATTCGATATAAGAAACATTCCCAATACTGTATTCCATTCACAAATATCCATTGAGTCTTACAAATAGCACCACATGCTTTTTAACATTGATTAATCCCGAACATGAATCCATAGCATGTGAACGAAAAGAAACAATATTTAGCCTAGTACAAGTTAATGTCTTAAAAGGCTACAAATTCCAAGGCCTTGCCCGCTTACCACAAAAATAGGACATAAACCTAATACACCATAGCCCAAGGCTGTACAGAAAACAAAATAACAAAACGAGCATTTAGCTCCAAGATCCTCTAAGCTCTCACCTTGGCGGAAGCACATTATCAACACCTGAAAGTTGTTTCCATGTAGGGTGACCATAAAGCCCAGTAGAGCTAATTTTAATGACATGTATGATGTTTAACAATGCCATATGTTGAATGCATATGAATGCCATGACCAAAACATGAGTTTTTTCCTTTTTGAAACAATGCCATGCAAGAGTTCCAAAACCACATTCCGAACACTTTCTTTTGAATTAAAAAACAGGACAGTAAATACAATGCTGTAAATTCCCAGGGCTAGTGTCTACAAGTAGGCTATAAAAGCACTACAAAAATATCACTTTACTGGCTCCTAACTAGAAGGAATTGGTGCCTGACCGCACGGGTTTTCAAATTTTCACCATGGGCCTATAACCAAATTAATTGCCCACAACCACACCCCCTACACAGATTCACTATTTTATTACCACTTTCTCAAAAAGAAATCATTTCCATGATACAACAGATCCATTTCCTAAATCACATGCAATTTCTATCACACAGCAATGCAATCCTCCACCGATAGCCAAAACAGTTATCTCTAATTTGAAGATTAAAGTGTAACAACTATGATATAATCCAACATAATATTAAAATCAGAAATCTCCATGATTTCCCAAAATCTCAACAATCAATATTCAACACTCCTCAAGAGTCTCACGAATCTTAACATTTTAAATTCAATTTCCAAAAATTAATATAATTTTCCCAACAAATTCAACATTTCAAAAAGAGTAATCAATACTAATCATTTCCAAAGGTTTCATAAATATTTCCAACCAAATCCTCTTTTCAATAACTTCTACTCTCCTTAGGTCTCATGAAAAAAATTTGGGTTTTCCCTCAAAGCGCAATTTTCTTCCAAAAACCAAGTCACAAGTTAACTCCAAGAACGTTAATTGGATAATAAGAAAGGCTAGTGAGAGATCCCCCTTTTCAATGCAATAATACATAGTTTTCCTAAAGACTTCAAGCCATCAAATTAATACATAGCGAAGCTAAAATGGAAGAAAATCTCTACCTCAAATCAAAGAGGAATAGGAAGAAAATCCCAAAAGTTGACGGTACGGTGATTTGTTTTGATTAGAATGAAGTCCTCGACGAGCTCTACACTTTATCTCAAAGGAGCAAGATGAGAAGACGACTCTAAGTGATTAGATCTGAAGATCTTACGCAAAAAAGGTTATAGTTTAGAGACAGAGATAAGGATTCACGAAGTAGAGAAGAGAGAGAGAGAGAGAGAAGAAAAGAGTAAGTGGGGGTCCTATTTATAGTATTAGGTCAATAATAGAATATTTGCCCTAAAGTCAACCAAAGAATAAGTCAAAAACCCAAAGATCATCCCAAACAACCCTATTAAACAAGCTATGTGCTATATAAGTGCACTTTTTGACTAAAAAAGTAGAGAGAAAAAAGATGTATGTTTGGAATAATTTTTTGATTTTTTACGAAAAAATGTGTAATAAAATATTGTAATAAAATCAAAATGACTATTTTACCCTTGTTGACTTTTTGATTCTTTTAACTCTTTAACTTTTTGACTTTTGGGTAGTTGAATTCAAAGGGCAAAATTATTAGCTTCCCCCAAATAGTATAGACTTTTTGACTTTTTTAGTAATTTTTTGACTTTTGTAAGTAATGCCAAACCAAGCCACGTAGTAGAAAATTTTGTGCTGCTGTCAAGTGTTGATAACTTGTAACATAGGTGAACAAGGCATCAACAAACGTGGTGTCGACACCAGCTAGTCCAGGTGTCAACACCAAAAAGCAGTAGTGCCCAACCGACACTTAGGCCACGCAGTGCCGATACCCAGAAGAGGTGGTGTTAACATCAAGAAGCAGAAGAACAAGAGAAGAAAAAAGAAGAGGAAGCAGGTGTTGACCCCAGAAACCTAGTGTTGACACCTAGAGCTAGATTTCTCAGTTCCTAACGAACTTTTCGACAAAACTAAACGTGAGTGAACAACCCTAACAAGTGTAGATTGAATTTTACTCTACCAAATCTATGATACAACACCCAAAGATCCAAATGGCAAAAGAAATGGAAATTAAATACACTTTCCAAAGGTTTAAAGAGCACAAGTGTTAACACCTATGAAGCACGGACGTGGACACGGACACGGATACGGACACGTGATACGGTAATTTTCAAAAAATGGGGACACGGACACGGCGGGGGATACGCAAATTTTTTAATTTTTTTTTTTATAAATATTTTTATTACGGCGGGGGATACGGCAAATTTTTTAATTTTTTTTTTATAAATATATTTTTTTTAATACATCAATTATTTTATTTATTTTTTAAATAATGTGTGCTTATTAATTATTTTATTTTATATTATATATGTGTTTTTTTTATTAATATGTATAAATATATAAGATAAAAAATATGTTTTTTTTATTAATACATATATATTGTAAGTATTATATCTTATATATGTTATAAGGATTATATGTTATATATATTATAAGAATATATATATACACTTATACAGATGTAAAAGATAAGACTGACGAAAAGGCGAGAGAGAGAGAGAGAAGGCGAGAGACGTGATCAAGTGAGAGACGTGACTGGATGGAGGTCATCGAAATCGACTGGTTTGAAGGTCATCGTCTTCTCTTCCATTCGAAGGACAAGCCAACCAGGTTTCCTTTCTCTTCTTCTTTACTCTTCTTCTTCTTTTCCGTTTGTGTCTTGATTTGGACACGCGCGTCCAGATTTGGTGGACATGCGTGTCGCTGCCGTGTCTCCACCGTGTCCCCTGCAAAAAAGTAATTAAATTAAAAGGACACGCCAACTGGCGTGTCCCGTACATATCCCCGGCGTGCCCTCGTGTTCGACACCGCCACGGCATCAAATTTGACGTGTCCATGCTTCATAGGTTAACACAAACACATTTATAATCAAAACAAATCTCCTATTCATATTCTTCATTTCATCAAATGAGATGTACAGAAGTAATCACATGCATTACACATTCACAACCCTTAAACCTGAATCTATCGCATGCTATATAATTACAAAACTATGTAAATAAGAATGCCCTATCGGTGTACATATCTCAAGGTTGAAACCTTGTTACAAAAAGGTGGGCTTTACCCCAACACATAAGCCAAAGCTATACAATCTAAACAACAAAATGAGCCTTCGTGCTCCACAAATCTCCCTAACCTTCAACAAGGCGGAGGCATTTTACCAGTATCTGAAAATGTTTTTGCTTGAAGGGATGAGCAAAATTGCCCAGTAGAGATAATATTACCAAAGTATATGAGATTATCATGGATATGATCATGAATGCAAATGATGTTATTTCATGCCAGAAGGTTTCTTTATTCATGAATGCAATGATGTAACTTTCTAAAATATTTCAACTTTCACCAATTCCAACAAAACCAATTATTAAACCGTAAATAATACATGGGAAATTCCTAGACATGTGTTTGCAAGTAGTCTATTTAGAATTATAAAAAAATCCATATTCTTTGGTTATTAATTAGAAGGGCAATTGGACACTTGATTCCGTGTTAGTTTCTAGACTTTCACTGAAGACCTCAGCCAACTTAATTTAATTTACAAACATTTTTTACACATTTCAGAGTTAACTACATTATTTATTTTTAATAATTTAACAAATTTCCAATTGTTACCAAAAGTCCCAAAGACAAATCTCAAAGAACTCGATGATACACACGATATAAGCATGAAATGCTGATGCAATGTATGAATTGAAAATGTTTCATTTTTCCTGGTTCTCAATATTCTACAACAAACATGCAATTCTTTGCCGATTGCTAAAACAGTCATATCTATCAAAGTACTTCACTGAGGCAATACAAGAGTATAACTAAACAATAATTCCAACAATTTAATAATTCTCAAGAATTTCCAACATTTTTAATATTCCCATAATTCTCAATAAATTCAATAATTTCAAAATTCCCAAGAAGTTTTACAATTTCCAAACAAATTCTTCCATTTCTCAATAATTTTCCCAAATTACAACACTTTCCCCAATTTCTCAACAATTAGGTTTTTGAACGAAAATTAGGGCTTGTCAAAATTTAGTACTGAACTTTGAAATTTAAGTTCCATTTGTCAATTTGAGAACTAATTCTCTAAATTTAAAACAAAGGAGCAAGCCCTATTTATACCATATACATACATCAAAAACACCCATTTTTCTCAAATTTCATATCTAACAAAATACCACATAGACATGGTAACTCAGGTCACTGACAAGTATATCGCTTGAGCAACTAAATGTGTGCTCGAGGGAAGAATTGAGGCTTATAGTATCTCAGGTTTTAGAAACTCAGAACTGTGAAGGCCTAAAGACTGCTCGAGTTACCAAAGTTTCGCTTGAGTGAACTAACAGACGTAACTCTCTCGTCCGAACTCTGTTTTGGGCAAATCAAGTGTCTAAAATGAAGCCCCGACAATAAGCTACCCAATGGTTCTAGTATCGTCAAAATTCGAAGTGTGGGGAGAGAAAAGGTTAAGAGAGTGAAGACTCTACAATGAATGAATATCCGAATCAATATTTTTTGATCAGATCTCACTTAGCCACTGCAATGACACCTCAAGCAATGTTCTAATATCAATTAAAAAGGATTTCAACAATAATAGTAAGGAAGTTAATTGCAATTCCATAGATTTAAGAGTACAAAGTGTTACAACCACTTTTATTGAATTTGCTTTGAGGTAACTCCCTTCAGTTTCTTAAAGGGTTGTGATTAGGGTTGTGCCAAATACCCGCTCAAACTGACTGATCCGTTCCAATTTGCTACGATCCATGCAGATTGGGAGAAGTGGCAGTGCAAGTTAGTTGAGGAGTGGTATAAAAAATGTTCAACAGCAAATGAACCAAACTATCTTGCTATATCTCTAATTTAGATGCATTGTCACCAAATCTCTTGCAAAAGTCAAAACACTAATTTGATAACAATATTGGCTTCTTAAGCAACTGTCTTTTACCATGGCTGTTGGCCACCACCAACAACATTGATTAAGCTCACCGCCATCATCCTTTAGGCACCTCCACTACCCCGATCATCCTCTTGGTGCCACTACCAACCAACTCTCTCTCTCTCTCTCTCTCTCTCGTGTGCATGTGCATGCCCACACACATACATCTACCCTTTGTCAACCTTCACTACCGACATCCTCCATACCAGCTCACCCCCCACAACTCCATCACTCAATTGCCAACCTGCCAATGTAAAACTGTTGAAAATTTCAATCAAATTGGCGGTTTCAAGTTACCATGGTTTGGTGGTGGGTGGCCAACACCCCCACTTGCCAATAGTGGTTCAGTCAGAAAAACATTCTCAAATAGCACCATATCAGATTGACTTGTAAACAAATTGTCAAGAAATCTTTTTGATTTAAAGGAAAGAGTATAGGGTAGTTGACTCATGTTTTTTGGAAGTTAGTTTGTTGTTTTTCTCTTTTATTCATGTTTTTTTATATTTTAAGAGCCAAGGTTATTTTAATAATTTTGGGCATTGACTATAATATGGGTCTATGGGTCCTTTTTGGGTCAAGTTATGCTATTGGTTGTATGTGGTTTTTGTTATGTCCTAAATGTTTTTGGTTTGTCAAAATGTCAGTATTCTATTTTCAAGTCCCTAGTGTAATAGGGGTTAATTTGAGCCCATCTAATTGATTAAGCTCAATTGGAGCCCAGTTAGAAAGTCCAAAATTATTGGGCTTGGAGATATCATTATCGAATGGGCCGAATTGCTCTAATCTCGAAAGGGTTTATATCCACAAACCTAGAGACCTATTTGAGCTCGGACTCAAAAGGGTTTTGAGCAAACCTAGAGATCCGAGCATTTGGCGGTTGAGGTGGCACGACCTAAGAGGTCCATGAGACTCAGCGATATTCGCAGCAGGGTGTTCTCATGAACTACCCCTGACCCTTTGAGATGCGTGGTGGCTAAGAACAATGGTTCGCCGAGAGGTTGATATCATCTTTCGGATTTTTCTCATCATCGAAAAGGTCACTTCCTCGGACAAAGTAGTTAGAAAAAATATTTCCTATGTGCCTTGCATATGGGCTCCATCCTACATGAAGTGCTTATAAATAGTATTCACCCATATCTTTACAATGATGAAAATTTTTGAGAGATTATTTTTTGGAGAGAACTAATCTTCATTCTCCATTATTTCCTTGAGAGTAAAAGTAGAAGATTTATAGGAGAGCCTTGCCATTATTCTTTCTCTAACTACTTTGCCTTCTTCTTTACCCAATATCTCATCTCCATCATTTCTTTCCTATGGTGTTCCTAGTTGCAACTATTGAAGAATCTAAGGCCTCGTTTGGGAACAGGCTAATTTAGTAACTTTTTAGCTAATTGGCTAAAAAGGTAGGTAAAAAAAACTTGTATGTTTGGGATGACTTTTTGACTAATTACGAAAAGCTGTGCAAAAAGTAGAGAGAAGCCGTAATTGTTGACTTTTTGGTATGACTAATTGGCTAATTGGTTAATTTAGTAACTTTTTGGCTAATTGGCTAAAAAGGTAACATCCCAGGCCTCGTTTGGGAACATGTTTTTTTAGTAATTTTTTGGCTAAAATATACTGTAAAAAAAACTAATATGTTTGGGATGACTTTTTAATTTTTTATGAAAAGATTTGCAAAAAGTAGAGAGAAAATAGAATCTTTAACTTTTTGGTATATGTTGACTTTTTGGTTTTTTTAGTGACTTTTTGGCTTTTTGGCTTTTTAGCTAAAATCACCACTTGCCAAACGAGGCCTAAGTCTCTCTCATCATTTCTAAAGAATTTGAATTTTTCGGCGATATTCGAATTTTCTGGCTAGCCTTCAAAGTTTCCAGCGACATTCAAATTTTTCGGTAACGTTCATGCACCCTCTCATACATTTTGGTGACTCTGCTGGGGAGGTGGGTTGGTTAATGGTAAGCAACAAGATCTGCAACACATTCTCTGGCGAAAATGGAAGAAGTTCATCAACATGAAGGTTTTTTCAATGGTAATGACAAAACTCAAGCCCAAGCTACTTTCATAGGTGCTATTCAAGGGTTTCAAGGCACACAAATACTCGCTACTCTTTTACCAAACCCAAATGGGTTCTCAAATGTCGAAAATGATGTGCAATTGATTGGGAATGGTATTCATCAAACCCAAATGGATTTCCAAATCCTCGAAATGGTGAGCACTGGTGTTTTCCCAAACCTAAATGGATTTCTAAATGCCCAAGTTGGTGTTTAAATGGCTTCCTATGGTTTTTCAAATGGTGGAAATAGACAAACCTGCTTTGTTGCTCCATCACCATTACAAACCCACTTTTTTGTTTCATCACGATTGCACATGTTGGATCCAAATGGACAAAGTCTTCCAAGAACTTTTATGCTTCCATGGCTATATACACTTACCATAGCTCTACCATTTATGACATACACACCACTTTTTCTCTCTATACTTGCTCTCTCTACCACTTTCTCTCTCTAGATTGCTTGTTTTAATCTTTCATATGACCACCATTTCTCTCCATCTCTCCATGAGTCTAGTTTGATTATCAACAAATTCTAGCCTCTCCTTTCCATTTCTAAAGGAATTCATATTTTCCGATGGATGTTCCTGAGAAAGTCATTGTATCACATTGTTCGAGGATGTTCCTAAGAAAGTCATTGTATCACATTGTTCGAGGATGTTCCTGAGAAAGTCATTTCCGTGGATATTTCTCCCAAGGAAGTCATCTCCGAGGATATTGCTCTCGAGGATGATGTTCCCGAGGAAGTCACCTCTGAGGATATTGCTCCCAAAGATGGTTGTTCTCGAGAAAGTCACTTCCAAGGATATTGCTTCCGAAATAGTCTTGTCCAAGAAAACTATATATGAAGTCACGCTCGTTTAAGAGCTAGATAAAAGGACTCTTTCCTCCTTACTCGATCCGGACATCAAGCCTCCGTACCCGGTGGAAATGTTAAGTTACCTATATCCAGAAGAGGGTGTGGGAAAATACTAGGGACTATTTGTTTCACGATTATAATTTTCTACTGTTAGTGAACTGTTTTTCACTCACGTGTAGACGTATACGTATATATTTTGTCAAATTACGTAAATTTTGTGTTCTTATTTTTTTGTAACCATTTTATTTTATTTGCTTCCATTGCTTGGGTGGGTTTATTCCCTATACACGCAAATAGCTTGATAATACATTGTTGTACTTATTTCCTAACAACTTAAGCTTTTAGGATTATTGGTGATCTAACAGTGGGAATTACACATTTGGTGGGTTTCTGTAGTTTTCAGCTTGAATAATTGTCTTTGGTTTTGGGTGATGCAGAAGTAGATCAAGGGAATTGATGCAGATTTATTATTTATTATTTTTGGGTGGATAGGTGAAACATTGAAGAAAATTATTCTTGTGTTTCTTGGACTTCGATTGTTGACAGCTTTAGTATTGGTAGAATTATTTAAAAAGAAGGAATAGAGCAGCTTCTCTCTGTTACATTGAGCTGATGCTAAACTTTCTAGTTATCACAGATTTTCTTTGGTATATGATAGTTGGAGCTTATAATCTTTCTCTTGTTTCAGGGATTTTCGTCATGAAAAAACAAAGAAGAAGCGTGGTAGTTATAGAGGAGGGCAGATTGATCTACAAGCCCACTCAATAAAGTTCAATTATTCTGATGATAATTGAGAGGCTTCTGATTGTGAGTGAAAAGTTCTTGCCCTTTGTTTGTGGTTTTCTTATGATTCTAAACTATTTCATCGATTCTTGTGGGTCATTGATGCTGCAATTCTTGCATTAGTGTTCCATAAACCAAATTTTGAGTTGATTATTAAGATTTACATGTAGTATGATACTTTTATCTTAATTATTCAGAATTTTGAACTTAAAATCTTCAACTTTGCCTATCACTTCAATTCTGTCTCATTGGCAAGCAAATGGAATGGATGGATTGGGTTGGTAGTTTTAGTTTGTACCTACCATTTGCTTCAATTTGCAATACTCAATTCACTTCTTCCTAAATTAACACATGCGCATTAATTCACCTCACATTTTAGCTAATCACCATTGAATCACTCATCCACTTCCTAAATTAACAAATGCTAGACACAAAATTGGATTTCACTTTTATCACCTTAACAAACACATTAACACAATTTTTAACCATACCAATGTGGATGTTGGCAGCTAGTGGTAACTGCTAATTTCATATCAATGCTGTATTTGATTGCTGGGGGATAAATGAAATTAATAAGGTTTTTGGCAACATTTACAGTTTACTGTAAACTGTTTATAACCTTTTGAAAATGAAAATAGAAATCAAATGAGTTTTTGTTTGCAATTTTTAAAAGTTCTATAAATATAAACAGAATAGTAAATATAAATGCTACCAAACAGGCCTTAAGTTTTGAGTTTTTAAAAATTCCAATCCTTGGCAAACCAAGCAGGGTGCTTGGGACTGTTTTGTTCTGTTCTTATTTTTCAGAAAATACAAATTATGTGAAGCGAACTACTTTAGAAATTTGTTTTTGGAACATTTTTTGTTTTCGCAACATTTTTTAAAAAACAGCGTACTTTGTTAACACTTTTTCTTTTTTTTTTTTTTGGCACAAAAAGTGAAAACAAAGTGAAAATGGTGTGCTCAAAATTTGTATTGTTTTGTTTGTGAGAACATGGAAAAAGGGGAAATAAAAACAAACAAAAACACTGGCCAAGAAAAGGGTTAAGCAAAAAAAAGGTTGAAAATCGCGAATCAGTCCAATTTAATTAAAAATAATTTGGTTTGGTTTTATCAATGCACGTAGGGGTTATCAATGGGATGAGTTGGGCTTATTCAATCCACAATTCTTGCGTCTAGATCTCATATTTTATGGGCGGGTTCGGATTACAAACCTTTGTCCAAAGTCTTAACTCATCTTTTTTATGGGATGGGACGAGTCAAGCGAGTTGGAATGGACTATGAGCCAAGTTGGGTAATATCAGATTTTTTGTGCGCTAGCTATTTGAGGACCCCTAAATGTACGGTTCGAATGTGGTTATTACAATAGGTAAATTGTACTTTACGGTTCGATTTATGATATTTACGAATTCAATTTGAAATCAGACTATTTATATGTATGTATATATAATTTGTATGTATGATCAGCTTTTATTTCTTTCAACCGTATTCTTGTATATTGGTAGAACTATTTCTAAATAATTGTCTACAATTCATAGGTTGTGAATAATATTTTGTAATCCTGTACCTAAAAAATCATAATAATAATAATAATATTTTGTGATTATATTGTGAACAATGACAAAATTTCTAAAAATTGCAATTCAAACCAAATCGAACCAAATCACATTTTAATGGTTCGATCTGAGTTGGTTATCAAATTTTCATGGTATAATTTGATTTTGTTTCAAATTTAATGAACCGAAAATAATAATTTGGTGCCTTGCGTGCTCCTAAATTAAATCAATTCAAGTCATACTCAGTCCCAAGGACATTTGGATTCTCAGGCCTTGGACAACAGTGTTTTTCTGAATTCCGCTTCTTAATGTCAACAAAAAGGGGCAATTTCTTTTACGATTGAATTTAAGATTTGAGAATAAAAAATAAAAAAAATCATATTACAATAATTTTTGGTGAGTGTGAATAGTTTTAAAAGGTATGAATATTCAACACCAACTTCCATAGTTTTCAAAAATTCAAACTATTTTGTTAATTGAAAGTATTAGTCCCAACTAAGAGGCCATTTGGATTCTCAGGCATTTTTTTTCTTTTTATTTTGAATGAGAGAATGCCAAACAGCTTACAAGAAGTCTAAAGACAAAACATCTCTAAGCCAACCAATGGGCAGCACGATTTCTTGGTGACCAACTAAAGGAAATATGGCACCTGGATCTAGCAGTCCGAATATCATGAAAAATGGCCTGACAATCCCAAGGAGGAACCAGTTCGGACACACCAAGTTCAATCACATATTTATTATCATTTTCCACACGGACATGCCTAACATTGAGCGTTTGAGAAAAGGCACACGCCAGTTCAACCGCTCGAGCTTCACCTTGCAAAGTTGAAGACACATGGACAACAGAAGTAGCACCATCCACCAGATTTCCTTGCCAGTCTCTGAGAATAACAGCTAGAGAAGCCAAAGCACCATTTTGTGAGAAATTAGCAATCACAATTTAGCTTAAATGGCCTTGAACAAGTGGTATCCATCTACAATAGAAGGAATGTTGACAGGTACTACCACGACCCCAACCCACCCCAAACAGGATGGAGAGGTGATCGGCTAGTAGTCTGAGACTACCAAAAGCCTGCCTAAGTTGGTCTCTTAAGTTAATTGGGGAAAATCTTGTCTTAAGTTGTGGAAGATATTAATTACTTTGGTTGAGTACATTAAATTCATTAAGACATCCGTTCAAAGTAGTACTTAACTATATGACATGAAACATACATCATTCTTAATTATACATTCTTAAAAGAAAGATACAACATATACAAGATATATACAAAAACTCCTAGAGCTATCCTCTTCAAAATGCTTCTCTTGCACCTACATATATATATATATATATATATAAGGTGAGAGGTGAGCCATTACCCAGTGAATAATATTAACGTAAAGTGGTAAATGAATAAATTTCAAAAATTTGCAAAAGATCCATTCCAGTTCATTACTTCAAAAGCATTCGAATAATTCATACGAATAGCTTATAATCAAAAGCATGATAACATGGTACATCCATTAAAATAAACCACCCAACCATACATGGTTGTCAACGAGAGATCTTAATAATTTCCATAGCACATAAATAAACGTCCTCCAATGGCTAAGACACTAAAGGATGCTATTACTGGATTCACAAAAATATGGAATATTCATTCATTCGGAAACAAAATAAGAATTTCACAAAATCATAACATATCATCAATATTTTGAAAAGTAATTTTCAGACATAACTTTACAATAATATTACTCACAAATGACTCATTGAACAAAAGATTTCCTCCTTCGAGTGCTTGACCTACACAAAGCATAAGCAAGATATTGAAAACATATAGACTAGCAAGCTTCTAAATTCATTTCAAGTGTTCTAACTTAGCTTAATGTTTCTTAATCTTTTCTTAAATTATCCAAGACTTTTCTAAGCCTAGTTCAGGTCAAAATCAAGTGTCAAACAAGTGTCGAATGCATACCTAGAAGCATCTTAGGTGATTAAGGCTTGAAGAATGTCAAAGTGTGTTGAAAACGTACGTTGAAGGGTAACTATTCTACAATAATTTCATATGCTATGCATTAAAAATATCATATTTAGATGTTTAAGGTTTAAGGAGGTAAGAATAAATGAAAGAAAACTAAGTTAGGAGAGGAATTAGCATGAAATGATTAGAAAGAAAGTGAGTAACCTTCACTAATTTAGACATATCTCTTTGTAAACTTAGAATTTGGATGTGAAACCACCACCATTGGAAATTAGATGTTCGGGGCTTAAATTTATACTCAAGAATCACCTAAAACTGAGTTCGGATGAGAGAGATATACCCATTTGAAGTTGAGTTGAAATAAGGGTTTCACATGTGCGGGAAATCTGAGTACAGGTGCAGGAAGAGTTCCGCATGTGCGGGAAATTTAAGGGCATGTGTGGTTATTTCAGTAGAAAAAAATTAGTTTCTAGAGGGGTTGGCCGCACGTGCGGGAAATTCAAGGTATGTGCGAGAATGGCTGTTTTTGTTCCGTATGAAATTCTTCCTTTGTTCTTGCTTTCGTCTTCTCATTTTTATGACTTGGGACTTTGAAAACTTATTAAATAACACATAGAACTTGTAGAAAAACATGTGATTATTATTCTTTTCAAAACTATAACATCAAAACATGATTTAACTTTAAGAGTCACGGATCAAACATGAGTTTTATCAAGAAATTCATGAACTCTATTTCTCATTCAAACCCTTTCTTGCCTATCCTCCCAAAACATGAATTTATTTGTAAAACTTGTGGATTTCACTTGAAAATATGCAAGAAGAGCATCAAAATTAAGGTCAAAATAGTAAAAATCTAGGCTACCTAGCTTATTTTCCAACTTATTCATCTTTTCTTCTTCCTTTTTTCTTCTTCCATAACTTCATTATTAACCCAAATTGATCCTTACTTCTTCTCAATCTTGAGTGATGGAGGGATTACTACAAGAAGTAGGGCTCAAAACTTACCTTAGGATGATCAAAGATGGATTTTTTTTTTTTTTTTTTTTTGGTTTTTTTGACAAGGTTCTTCAAGCCCTCTTCTTTTCTCTCTTTCTTTCTCTTCTCTTCTCCTTCTTTCTCCTTTCTTCCAGTTGATTTCTGTCATGACCCGAACCCACCCGCATAGGTTAAGGACATAACCGGCCAGTAATCATGCGATTACCTACGGCCTCAAACCAAAACAAATGTATTTTAACAGAGTTAATGGGGGCCAAACGGAAGCAGTTCAAAACTTTGTCCATAAAGCTGTGCTTACATGGCACATCCAGACAACCAAACATATATACATTAATAACTCACAACAAAAATACAGTAACATAAGTTCTATACAAACAGGATCATTCAAAAGCTAAGTCAACCCACGAAAACTATATACAGACATATGCAAAGTCCTCGCCAACATGACAAAAATAATATAGCATAGCAGAAAGGCGAAGACGATTCTCGTGCGTGAGACACTAGGGCTGACTCTCCAAAACTCGGTTGTTCCACACAGAGTTCACTGGGGCTGGGTCTAGACCTCTCTTGGCTCACCTACAACACATGAATGAGCGTGAGCGATAGCCCAGTGAATAATATCAAATAAGAAGATACAAACGATATGTAGAACAACATACTCCGAACGGCCTTGGGCCCAATTCACATTTACATTTAACATTTATA